CTCACTCCCGACCCCCAGCCCTGACGGCGCCCCTCACTCCCGACCCCCAGCCCCGCCAGTGCCCCTCACTCCCGCCCTGCCGGCGCCCCTCACTCCCGGCCCCCAGCCCCGCCAGTGCCCCTCACTCCCGACCCGCTGCGCCCAGCCCTGCCGGTGCCCCTCACTCCCACCCTGCCAGCGCCCCTCACTCCTGGCCCCCAGCCCCCGCTAGCCCGGCCCTAGGCTCCTCCCACCGCTCATAGACCGGGATATTTTGGCCTCCTGTTTCTTTGTTTCTGTTTCATCCCAAAGCCCCAATGAGGCTGGAATCGTTTCAGTTATTAGTGTTGTCCGGAAACTAGGTGTTTACCTGTGCCCCTACACTAACAAACCGGCCTGTGCAGCCTCCAGCTCCCTGGAGAGACCCTACACTAACAAACCGGCCTCTGCAGCTCCCAGCGCCCCTGAGAGACCCTACAATAACAAACCGGCCTGCGCAGCTCCCAGCGCCCCTGAGAGACCCTACAATAACAAACCGGCCTGCGCAGCCCCCGGCTCCCCGGAGACACCCTACAATAACAAACTGGCCTGCGCAGCTCCAGGCATCCAGGAGAGACCCTACAATAACAAACCAGCCTGCGCAGCCCCCGGAGAGACCCTACAATAACAAACCGGCCTGCGCAGCTCCTGGCAACCCGGAGAGACCCTATAATAACAAACCAAATGCATATCCCCACTGTCTGTCCGTCCGTCCCTTCCCAGCACAGACGCTGCCGCCTCGGCAACTCCCCCCCGCCCCCCCATGAGCCAACCCTGAACCAGCCACCAATTGTTTTGCACAGGCTGCAGCTCCAGGTTGCAGCCACCAGAGGGCGCCGCTTGCTCCTTTTTTTCCAGCCGCTGCGCGGCCGAAGCAGCGCTGTTGTGTGAGATAACACAACACAACACAACACCCACATTCTGCGCCCCCAGGGGGCGAGAGCCGTCTCCTTTGCAACCCGCGATCCAGCCCGACTCGCTTCTAGAGAGTGTGTGTGTGGGGGGGCAGACCTTACACCAAGCCCTGTTGTGCTGAGTTGTGTTGTGTGCAGTTTGTGAAGGGTATTTTGGGAGGGGAGGGTCAGTGAGCAGGGAAAAGCCTGCACAACACCAAGTTGTGTTGTGTTATCTGGATCCCTTCTAAAGCATTGTGGGTGGAAAACCCCGACCCCAAACTGAGTTGTGTTGTGTTTGTGTTTGACCTGAAGTTGTCCCATGCAGTGCTGTGTGGCTGGTGAGTGGCCTCTTAGCCAGGGGTACGGTGGATTGTGTCGGGTCCCATGTTGCGTTGTTGTTGTGCTAAGACGTATTGTGTTATATTGATTTGTGTTGTATCTGACATTGGATTGTGTTGTTTCCCAGTGGGCAGTGCTGTGTTGAGTTGCATTATGGTGTATTGTTTCCCACTGGGAAGCTCTGTGCTGTGTTGCACTGTTGTGTTGTGTTGCATGCAGTGCTGTGTTGTGTTGTAATGTGCTGTGTTGCGTTGCATTGTGCAGCATTGTGTTGTGTTGCATTGCATGCAGCGCTGTGTTGCATTATGCTGCATTGCATGCAGCACTGTGTTGTGTTGCATTGTGCAGCACTGTGTTGTGTTGCATTATGTTGCATTGCATGCAGCACTGTGTTGTGTTGCATTGTGTGTCTGTAGCTCTGCCCAGCGCCTCCACCCAGCTCCTCTCTGAACCTCAGAATGGCTGTGAATGGGCCCAGCGTGGGGGGGGGGGGAGCCACTGGCGAGGCCTCTGGGGGGTGCTGTGGGGGATCTCCAACCCCAGGGGAAGCTGAGCCCAAGAAAGGGGGAACATAGCCCGTGTGGGGGGGGTGACTCAGCCCCCCCAGTCAGGAGCACGTCCCCCCACTCCCTCCACGGCCCAACAGCCCCCCCCAGGGAAATCAGGGGCCACTTGGGGTCTCTGGGCTCAGATGGACCCCAGGAGTCCATGGGGGGGCGTTGGAGAAGGGTGGGAATCGGGGGAACTCCAGTGAGGGGGCACCCCTGGATCTAATTCAGTGTCTGGGATTCCCCCAGTGCATTTGGGGGGCGGGGGGCTGAGGATCCAAATGCCCCAGATGATCCCCCCCTTACTCCCCAGCTGTCCCGCGCAGGGGCTCTGTCTCAGGCCCTGAGCTCATCGGCCGTCCCTCCCTCCCTGCGGTGGGGCAGCGGGGAGCCACACGGCGCGGGGCGGGGGCAGCCCAGGGCTTTGGGGTGGCCTCGGCGTCATGTCTCAGGCTGGCCACAAACCCGCCAGGGCCGGGCAGCCAGGGCCACCAAGAGGGGAGAGGAAGCCATGAGGCCCTGGCAGGGTCAGCGGGGGCGGGGGCTCCTGGCTAGCACAGCCCCACCTCTCCCAGCAGGGGGTGCTGTGGGGGGGGGTGTTGTCAGCCGAGTTTCCATGGTGGGAAGATCCTGCGGGTCGGGAACGGGGCAGGAATCGAGGAGCTCGGGGTGGGGGTTGGAGGCAGGGCGGTGAATCGGGGGGTTGGGGGGGGTTGGGGCAGGGCGGTGAATCGGGGGGT